CTATATCTATATCTATATCTATATCTATATCTATATCTATATCTATATCTATATCTATATCTATATCTATATCTATCTATCTATCTATCTATCTATCTATCTATCTATCTATCTATCTATCTATCTATCTATCTATCTATCTCTATATATCTATATATCTATATACATATACATATATCTGTATCTATATCTATATCTATCTATCTATCTATCTATCTATCTATCTATCTATCTATCTATCTATCTCTATATATCTATATATCTATATACATATACATATATATGTATATATATACACACTTACATACTTTCCATTCAAGGGACATAATGACTCAGTAGTTAAAGACGCTTGTCAGCTGGAAGATTGACAACTGGGGTTCAAAACCTGAGAGTTATGTATGTGATGGGGTGAGCTCCTCTTCCTTGTCCCACCTCTTGCCATCTAGCAGTTCAAAAGCATGTAAAGGAGAGCAGAGAAATAGGTTTCATTTCAGTGGGAAGGTAACAGCATTCCGTGCACCTCAGCGTATAGTCATGCTGGCCACGGGAAGCGTCGTCTTCGGACAATGCCGGCTCCCTTGGCTAAGAAGCAGAGGTGAGCACCCTCCCTAGACTCAGAAATGACTGGACAGGGGAAAGCTTTATCTTTACCTTTATATTTTCCATATGGAGCCTCGGAGAGCATTTTTTATTGTGGTTGCATGGAAGCATGTAAAATAGATAAATTATGATCAGGATTTATTTGCACGCAAACATGGATCTGAACTATGAGGAAATAATTAAGATGTTTGTTGTGCAAGCCCAAAAACTATTGCACTGGTTGAGAAGAGGAAAGGATATAGATTTGCAAGTTACCCAGTCATCGCAGGGATTTTTCTGCCCTAACCGATGTTAGTATATAAGGATCTGTTTCTCTTCTAGGATCTGTGGATAAGTGCCACAGCATTAAGATTGTGATTCCACCTCAGGCTCAGAGCTTTTTTCTTTCAGCGCAGGCCCCTGTTGATGGACCAGTGGACCCTGAGATTCCCTCTGGCCAGATTCTGGGTGGCTTGCCTTTCCCTGCAGGCCATATGCCATTTTGCCCAGGGTGAGCCACGTGACTTGCTGGCTGGTGGAGCTGCTGGGCTTCTGCTGGAAGACGCCACCCAAGAGCAGGGTTACTACCTGCAGCAGTTGTTTCGACAGTATGGTGAGAATGGCACTTTGTCCTTTGAGGGCCTGACCCGCCTCCTGCTAAGCCTGGGGCTGGGGAAGGTGCAGGTGGTGGAGATAGAACACGAGGAACTGGGCCATGGTCACGTCTCCCATCTGGACATCCTGGAGGTCCAGGAAAACAAGCACCTGCACTTCCACTCAGCACTGGATCATATCAGCAAGTCAGAGCACGGGGCCAAGACTCAAGTGGAGAGTGTCACCCCCACCAGGTGGGTCCATTCTAAAGACTGGAAACATCCAGCGGGCAAAAATGGCTGCACTGGGGAGGGCTTGTCCATTCATAAAACAGCTTTCCAGGTGGGCATGGACAGTCACAAAAGATCCATTTGTCACAAGGTAAAAAGGGGAGGATTTCCCCCCCCCCTTTAGCCCAGGGGTGTCAAACTCGCAATGTCATGTGACGTGTCACGACGTATCACGGCTTTTTTTTCCATTGCTGGCAATGGGGTGGGCATGACGCATCTGGCCCATGGGCTGGCAGTTTGACACCCCTGCACTAGCCCTTCCAGAGAATTTCAGAGTACTTTTGTCTTGTTGTTCTGGGCAGGCTGTACTTCCAAACAAAGCATCCAGACCTTGTTTGTTTGCTCTAAGGTGCCCAGAGATAAATCAAGCTGATGTTAAGGGCTAGTTCTTTGTTTCCCACTGCTTTGTTTATTCTCAAGGAAAGAATTTGAAAAAAAAAAAGTTAAAATCAGGTGGGGCAGAGACCCACCTGGCCAGCGCCAAGGGAGAGCTGTGACAAATTAGCAACCCAGATTCTACAGCTTGAGAAAGATATTTCCGTCTGTACACAATGGAAGATTGCCAGCGCATATTTCCATTGAAGAATGAATTAATTAAAGCATGGTGTTTGTTAAGTTCTTGATCAGCAGCTAACATCTTGCACAGCATCTAAGCCCAAGTAAAATAAACATATTGCTAGCCTCAGCATTCTGATCTTGCTGAACCAGGCAACCTGCTGAAATGGGGCTGTTGAAATATTTTTTGTCTTTCCGGAAGCTGAGAGCTAGCAGCAATAGGCCTACTTCAATCATTGCAAGGGAAAAAGAAGTGAAGCAGCAGCTCATCCCTGTCGGCCATCAATTCAAACAATTTGGGCTAACATTAAATTGGGAGGAGATAGATAAATTCAGAAAAGGTAGAGGTAGTTCTCATTTAGGAATCACAATTGGAACTGGCAACTTTGTTTAGCAAAGAGGTTGCTAAACAAAATCGCTACTGTGCTTATGGCCTTACTTCAGTGTTATTTTGCTTTACAGACCTCTATAGTCTGTAAATGAGAGAATTGGTCGCAAAGTTACATTTCCATCACTATTGCAACTGCCCAAATTGCTGTACAGCAGTCTAAGTGAAGACCACATGTGTATTGGTCACCACGATGTAAAAAAGATGTTGAGACTCTAGAAAGAGTACAGAGAAGAGCAACAAAGATGATCAGGGGACTGGAGGCTAAAACATATAAGGAACGGTTGCTGGAATTGGGTATGTCTAGCTAGTCTAATGAAGAGAAGGATGAGGGGTGACATGATAGCAGTGTTCCAATATCTCAGGGGCTGCCACAAAGAAGAGGGAGTCAAGCTATTCTCCAAAGGACCTGAAGGCAGGACAAGAAGCAACGGATGGAAACTAATCAAAGAGAGAAGCAACCTAGAACTAAGGAGAAATTTCCTGACAGTTAGAACAATTAACCAGTGGAACAACCTGCCTCCGGAAACTGTGAATGCTCCAACACTGGAAGTTTTTAAGAAGAGACTGGACAGCCATTTGTCTGAAATGGTATAGGGTCTTCTCCCTGAGCAGCAGGTTGGACTAGATGACCTCCAAGGCAGTCCAACTTTATTATTATTGTTGTTGTTATTGTTGTTATTATTATTATTAGGTTAGATTTTATGCTAATAATTAAATGTCATGAAAGGAATGCAATGCACCGATTCTTCTTTGGACTGGGAAATCCCACCCTCAGCCACAGCCACTTGCTAACTCATAGTCCAAATTACCCCACAGCTTTGTTGTGGGGAAAAAACAGACAGAGGGAGAGCTATGTACACCATGATAAACTCCTGGAATAAAAGTGAGGTATATATTGAAAATAATAATAATTTTCAAGCCTGCAGGCCTTATGTATTTTAGTTCTATTTCTCTTAGTTCTTTTTTTCCTGATTATTCTCAGGGAGACGTAGTTAGCCTTACAGTATCAGGTGGTTTTTTAACATTTCAGTGAAATGCAATCTTTCCCTGTTGAGTTGATGATGATTTCACATGTCCTTCAGGCCAGGATTCTCTCTGCTGGACCCTGAACTCCATACCCCAGTCTCTCCTGCCTTCCATGAGGTCAGCCACGTCCTCAAGGCCAGCTTTGGGCAAGGCCCAGAGAAATCTGACAAGGAGAAAGAGGAAAATATTTTCATGCCTCCCCACGGACATTCTAAGCTAAACCTTCTGGAGGGAGTCATTGCCTTGGATCACTCAGTCTTCAATCACCTGCATGAAGATGTAAGTACTGGAGATGCATTGCAGTCATTCTCAAGATTTCCTGCCTCACTGCAGCAAGTGTATTGACTATACTGGGCTGGCAGGGAAGCAATTATGCTATTGTGTATAAGGGGATGTGTTGATGAGAGGGGTGGAGATTACAAAGTATATTCTACCGTCTGAAAGATAGAAAAATGAGTCGAGATTCTTTGTTTATACTGGGCACATGTTCCATTTGGAAAGAACCCATATAGTTTGTGCTTGAAATGGGCCACTCAGTGTTGCCCTCTCAGCTGAACTGTGGATGGTAACCTATGGATGACCTTCAAGCTGCATCTGGCCTTCAAGCTAATGATTGGCAGCAACTTGATTAACACCAGCGGTCCCCAAAGTGGATGGCTAGAAGAGACTGACTTAAACCAATGCAACTAGACATCTGTTTTCAAAAGCCATCCTATGAAAAGAACTACTATTAAAATATGTCACATACAGACACCAACACACTCACATAGAAAAAGCAAGGTTGTACAACTGGTGCAGAATTTTACCTCTGCTTTTCAGGAATGCTGTATTTTTCTGTAGCTCCCAGAGAAAGCACGACGTATTTCTGATTTCTCGCCTTGCCCTCTTCTGTTACTGTAATTCTCCTCCCAAGCTGGGCAACGTTTCTTCCTCTGCCCAGGAGTATCCACACACACACCCCAAAATGGATAAATGATAATTGTAGTGGAAGCGTGTTCTGCCCTGGTTGGAGGGCCACAAGCCCATTTTAGCCCTATTGCTCATTTCTACAATAAACAGCCTTCCTGGTTGTTCTTCTTTCTCCAGTGCCTCAATGTGTCTCAGCTGCTTGTCAATTTTGGTATGAATACCATCTCCAAAATCACCCCAGAGCAGTTCACTCTGCTGTGCCCAGCACTGCTGTACCAGATCGATAGCCGTGTTTGCATCCAGCACTTGGATGATGTGACTTTCAACACGTCTGGGAACTCCCTCTGGAATAGTAAGATCTTCTGCCTTTCTCAAGTCACTCGAAGTGCACATCTCCAGTGAGGTTGGCCTGGGTGAGCAGGAGGAGGCGGAGTTAGTGATGTCATGGGAAGAGGGGTGGGCAAAGCTTTCCCCCTCCACTTTGCTATCCACGTAGTCCTCAACTTACAATAGTTCATTTAGTTCAATAGTTCAAAATTACGACGGCACTGAAAAAAGTGACTTATGATTGTTTTTCACACTGATGACTGTTGCAGCATCCCCATGATCACATGATCAAAAATCAGAGGCTTGGCAACTGACTCATATTTCTGACGGTTGCAATGTCCAGGGTGATGTGATCACCTTTTGCAACTTTCTGACAAGCCAGATTCATTTAACAACGGTGTCACTAACTTAACAACTGCAGTGATTCATTTAACAACTATGGCATGAAAGGCAGTAACATGGGGTAAAATTCACTTAACAAATGTCTCACTTAGCAACATAAATTTTGGGCTCAGTTGTGGTCATAAGTCAAGGACTACCTGTACAGCTTGGAAGGGGAGTAGGAGGTGTGGGGGAAGCAAAATGTTTCCAGGCCCAGCCTTGAGGACCCCCAAGTTGTGGCATCCATTTTGGGTGCCACAATCAATGGATTTTGGTGATGTGATTTTTGAGGGAGGGTGTTTGTTATTGTTGTTTGTAGTTTGGGGAGTGTGCATGGAAGCAGTTGGCTTCCTACACCGACTTCTACTCTTAATTTATCAAAAGGAGAAGCTGAAGTTTCTGGATGTGGCAAATTGTAAATTGGGTACATCACATCACGGATGGGGTCACACAACCTCATCAAGACAGTATTTTTTGTTAGAAAAAGAATAGTACATTATAAATTTGAACAATGATTACAGTAGAAATTGCAGATGGGTCAACTTACCACTATATAAATGCAATTGTAAAGTTAGGTTTGTACTCCTCCTTCTTTTCCCTCCTTTCCCCAGACCGCAGCTCCCTCAGACTTTCAACATGGCTTCCCTTCAGCTTTCAGTTCTTTCCTTTTTTTAACTTTTCTTTCTAATCTTGTAAGAATTCCACCTTTCTTCTGCAAACCCACAATGCTGCATGCTTATTTAAAATATGTAAAACAAAATTCCACATCCTCTCTTCAAGATAACTCAAATTGTTCCTCAGAAAATCCTTATTGAATAAACTGAGAAAATGTCTTCTAAAATCATGCTCAAGCCTCAATTTGCCCAAGTTTTTATTCATTGCCTCTTGATTCAGCTTTTCTTTCACCAAACTGGCTTTTTCCCAACATCCTCTGCCTCCAACTTATTTTCTAGGAGTTATTTTAAGAAGATATATAATTACTTGTGCCTTCATTACTCTCTTGTGAAGAAACTATTCATTACAATCTGTAGAGAGAATGTATCCTAGTGCTTCCATCCCAGGGAAGTGTAGTTAATAAGGCCTCCACTATGTGCAACTTGTTACTTTTAGAGCTGTGTTTCCTATTCCTGGCACCCTTTATGCTTTCCACAGGCCTGGGCTGGGGATTTTTGGCTATCACCATGACCAGCTTGCCCTCAGCACTGGCCATCGTCTTGGTGCCCCTACTGAGTGGAGAAATCTTCCAGTTCCTCCTGACTTTTCTGGTGGCGTTGGCTGTGGGGACATTGTGTGGGGACGCTTTGCTGCACCTCTGGCCACATGTATGTACCACCCCTTCTTCCATTTGGGGTACAATTGTCCACAGGTAAGTGGGTAACCACCCAACGAATCTCAGGTTCGTACAGAGAAGCCCACCTAAGGCATTGGGTGTCTGCCTCTTCACATCAGTTCTCATCAATACTTTGTCCTCTTTGATCCTGTTGTTTTTAATGAGGTACCACCCACTGAACATTCCTCAGTTCCTGCTGGTTTGCCTCTCTTTTAGTCATTTTCATGAAAAACAGGATTTCTCATAATTAATGCTATTGTTAAACTCAGTGGGACTTGCTCCCAGGTGAATATGGTCAAGGTGATGCCAGAACCAAACAGCAGAGCTGAACTCCTGTCATGTTTCCATAAAGAGCAAATGTGGGGACAGTTGGGGATTTTTGCTCAGATCTTTCCAGGCTTATCTTAAGGTGGTTTAAAAGAATTAATATCTGTTCTGAAATATTCCTTTCTCTGCTCAGAACAATTGTTTTTATTCAGGCACAAGTGACTTCCCATGGCTTGCTGTCCTCAGAAGAAGATGGCGTTCTGAAGGGTCTATGTGTCCTAGGGGGCATTTACTTTCTGTTCCTCACTGAGAATCTCATGGGAACACTCAACCAAATTCGCACAAAGAAGGTAAGAAGTGCACTGAATTATAACACTCCTCAGGGCAGGAAAAGACATGTGCCATTCATACACATATGCCAAACAAGCAAAAAAAGTATTAAATGCTAAGGTCTCCCCTAGAATGAGAAAAGACAGTTCTGAACTACCACCATGTTATACTACTGCCCACCACTACAAGGAGACCATATCTCTAGCTTCATTAGGGTGGGGTTCAAATCTCAACATGCTCATTGGTTTTGCTTTTATTGGACAGAAAAGTGCCACTGAAAAGCAACTTAAGCAATCTCATACTAAGGTGGACAAGAATGAAGCAGAGAGGACCTTGCATGGTGAGTTGTGAATTACTTAGTACTTCAAGTCTGTCTTAGTATTTTGATATGTTTTACATTCTATTTTAGCAGGAAAAATGTGTGTCTCCTTGAAATCTGGTTTCAAAGGAATTTATGTCCATAGTTGAATGATTATACACCCCTGAGCCCACTTGAATAAATGCATTTTAAATGTATAAAAGTAGTTGAATATGCAAGGCCTCTTTCTTTCTTCTTCGGTCTAGATATTGGATAGATAGAACATTATCTCAGTGATCAGTATCTAGCATCAACACTATTACTAGTTGTCTCTTCAGAATTGTGATTTGGGCTTCTGGTTTTGACGTCGCGGTGAAGCAGATACAGGAAGATGGGACACTGGAAAGGGTCGAGAGGCGACAAGCAAGGAGGGGACCTTCGTTGATCGCAGGGGGGCAGCAGCCCTCCCATTTGATCCGAGGAAGCCCTCCAAACCGGTGGGGGAAACACTGGCTACATTCGTATAGCCAGTCAGAAGCCGCTGTCAACAGAAGACAACAAGCACTATCAAGCAATCTTACAGCAACGTGGGTGAGACCTAAGCCTCTCTTTATGACTTTAAGACTTCTTCCTGAAAATCTGCCCAAAGCACTCCCCCCAAGGAGGAGGGAAAGGAAATTCCCACTCCAATCCCCCAGAAAAGCGGCGAATTAATTACTTGGGGAAAAAGGAGAAACCTACAAGACTAATTTGGAATTAATATATATATATATATATATATATATATGACTTGGAAATTTAGGGACTAAAAGTGCTTTTAAGACCTTTTTAAAAAAAGAAAGACTTGAAAAGTTTACAATATGAGTTTTGGATTTAAAAACTGAAAAACCTGGCTCGAAGCCCAGAGCTAGATAAGACTTTGGCTGGCCTTGAAGCTTTTACTTTTGAGAACTGCAGCTGAGAAAAAGGAACAGACTTGGGGGCTGCTTATCTGTGTGGCAGAGATGATAATATTATTCTAAAATTGGCCTGCCTGAACTATGAACACAAACACTGACTTTCAGAGCTATATTGTGGAAGTGTTTTCCTGTAGAAGAAACATACACTATTGCCTGATATGGTGATACACTTTGGATTATAAATCTTGACTGTTACAACCTTTAATGGTTCTTTTTACTCCCTGGACAGAAAGGATATTTTTCTCATTGGACAGTAAAATTTGAACTTTACTTATATCTGCTTAGGGGAGGTTTAAGAACAGCTAGTTGGTTGGATAAATTTATAATGACTACTTACAAAAATAAAATGGATGTTAAGGATGTTAACCATCCTTAACATCTATCTCCAGAAGTTTCAGTTTGCCATATTACCAAGAAAATTCTGATGAACTACAGAAAGAAATTCTCTCCTTGTTGAAATCAATACAAGAAACAACCGCTTTCGCTTGTGATGAGATTCAAAATAACAGAAAGGAGATAAAAGAACAATCTTCTAATTTAAATCTACAAACTCAGAAAATAACTACAGAAGGAACCAGCAACCCAGAAAAATAGAAGGAAAACCAGAGAACGCTGACACAAATTTTGAGGATCTAAACTAAGGAAGAAACCAGTAAACAGACTCAGATAAATGAAGACTTAGAAGACACAACAATAACAGAAATGGAAAAGACATTTTACAAATCAAGGTTTCAGAACATACTGTAGGATAAGGAAGGAGAGCTGATGGACTGGAAGATAAAGTCATTAACCAAACTGTGGGGAATTGAAGAAGGAGGGAGGCTGTTTAATGAAGAAGGAGGGAGGCTGTGCTGGCTCAGGAATTCTGGGAGTTGAAGTCCACGAGTCATAAAAGAGCCAAGGTTGACTACCCCTGGGCTAGTCCTTCCAAAAATGCTTTAATTAAATTGTTTTTCTTGTCTCCAAATTAGTCTTGTAGGTTTCTCCTCCCTCCCCCCAAATAATTAATTCACCGCTTTCCTGAAGGAATGGGGTAGAAATTCCCTTTCCCTCCTTGGGGGAGTGCTTTGGGCAGAATTTCAGGAAGAAGTCTTAAAGTCATAAAGAGAGGCTTAGATCTCACCCAGTTTCATCCAAGTTCCTGTAAAATTGCTTGATAGTGCTTGTTGTCTTCTGTTGACAGCAGCTTCTGATTGGCTACGCGAATGTAGCCAGTCCTTCCCCTGCCGGTTTGGAGGGCTTCCTTGGATCAAACAGGAGGGCTGCCGCCCCTCCCCCGCGATCAATGAGGGTCTCCTCCTTGCTTGTTGCCTCTACCGGGCGACTTTCGACCCTTTCCAGGGTCCCCCAGCGGGGCAAAATCAAACATGGAAGATGGAGCCCTGTCTTCCTGCGTCTGTCTCGCCGCGAAGCCAAAACTGGAAGTCTAATGTTTTATGTTTTAAATGGTTATGTTTAATAGTTTTAAAAATGATTTTATATGTTTTTTAATCTTTGATTGGGAGCCACCCAGAGTGGGCTGAAAGGTGGTGACTGCATAAAAGTTTTAAATAAAACAAGATGACTAGAGAGTGGAGCTAAGGGTAGAAGACAGGCAGAATCTGTTGCAGGGCCTAGTCCAGAATCTCTAAAATGATCAATTGCCATCAAGTGCAATCAAGGGAGAATAATGTCCTTCAGCAGCAAAATGGCATGAATCTGACCTGTGTCTTTGCTCAGTCTCTCTAGGTCCTAATGGATTGCTAGGTGGGTCAAAGGTCTAACACGTTTCCCTGAAACTTCAGTGCCTTTATTTCTTAAACTGAATAAGATTAGGAAACAAGCCAAACTGCTGTTCCAAAGCTATGCCCCTCTGTTCTTGGAGATAGCTCTACAGAATGTGCATCTTCTGTTTCCTAGGCTCTTAGTCACAAGTTCTAAGATCTTAAGACGTGATTGTCAAAGAGGCATGTTAAACAGTTCTTTATATATATATATATGGTCTAAACTCTTCAGGTGCTGAATTGGAGAGTTTGAGAGTGCCAGAAGAGGACACTGGAAATGTAAATGGCAAAGTCCAGGACTGCTCCATTCAAATTCACAACTCGGAAGACCACAGGACAAGCCTGGAGAAGCAAACAGAAGAGATACATCACCATGGTCACTCCCACAGCCCAGTTGGGACTCTCAAAGCTGGGATAGCTGACATTGCTTGGATGGTTATTCTTGGGGACGGGGTACACAATTTCACAGATGGATTGGCAATAGGTCAGTGATTTCTAAGCACACCTTGGTCCCATCTTGTGACAGAAAAGCAAAATAGTCTACTTCTTTCAGAACCTTTTCTCAGGAACTTAAGGTGGCATACATAGCACTCCCTCTTCCTGCTTTTCCTCTCCCCTCACAACCCTACGAGGGAGGCTGGGGTGAGAGAAACTGACCATCTCACAATTGCCAGGGAACTTCTATGGCTGAGAGTGGACTTGAACCCGGGACCTCTCCCTCCTAGCCCAACACTGCTACGCCACAAAGGTTCTTTTAGACTTACATGCCTTGCTACACTGTTCTTCTACTTTAGGGGCTGCCTTCTCGAATGGACTCTCCAGTGGCTTAAGCACTACGTTGGCGGTCTTTTGCCATGAACTACCCCATGAACTGGGTGAGTGAACAAGGACTGCTGCTGCTACAGGACTAACTGATCTTTTTGCATGTCTTGTTTTCAAGCTTGCCCAAAGCACCATGGAAGCAAAAGTTGTCATGTCCTGCCACAACAGGTTCATGCCTAGACATTGCTGGTTTCAAGAGGGGTTGAGGTAGCCTTAACTTTCTCTCTCTTTGGCAGGAGACTGTGCTGTCCTACTCCGGGCGGGCATGCCACTCCGGTGGGTGCTGTTGTTTAACCTGCTGTCTGCTTTCCTGGCTTATTGGGGCATGGTGTTAGGGACAATTGTCAGTCAGAACACTTCCCAAGTCACTCCCTGGATCTTTGCCATCACAGCTGGTGTTTTTCTTTATGTAGCTCTGGTTGATATGGTAAGAAATTGTGTTTCATTTCTCTATGTGTGGTGCAAGCCTTAATTTATTGTATTTCTATCTGACCTTTTTTTGACCAGTGGTATATGTGGGAGTCTTCCCTAAATTTATCTTTATGGTAGCAATGAAGTAAGATTGGTTGGTAGCAGAGGGCCTAGACCAGGGGTAGGCAACCTTGGCTCTTTTATGACTCGTGGACTTCCTGACTGGCTCAGGAATTCTGGGAGTTGAAGTCCACGAGTCATAAAAGAGCCAAGGTTGCCTACCCCTGGCCTAGACTCACCCCCTGAATTTTGTAGGTGTCTGGAGCCTTGAACCAAGCCTCTCTACTCCAAGTTCAACCACTACAATGACACTCGGAGCCCATAGACTGATACATGTTCTTTCTTACTTGTTGCTCTCCTTCCTCACCCTTCTTTATAAAAAGCACAAATCGGTGTTTTCATCTCACAATCCTGTATTATATTGGGAGAGAGAAAATGATGCCCAAACTGCAGGGGGTATTAATATGTTTTTCAAATCTAAAGCTTTAGTTTCAACCAAGCAACGGGAAGGGAACATGCAAAACTTGTGTCTGGGAACATGCAAAATTTGAGGATTTTTTGGATCCTCTGGCCCTGTTTCCTGCCTTGTCCCATCTGCTGTAGCTTTTCAAGATCAAGGGAGGTCCAAGTGGAAATATATTTGAGATCAAGTTTACCTCTCTGAATTCAGCATCTTGTCTCTGAGATTTTAAACCATTTATTTGGAATATTAATGTTTCTCCTCTCCCCCAAATACTGTAGAAGTGGATTGCCAAAGCTTTGGGGTAAAAAACAGAATCTAGTACTTGTAACAGGACAGGAAAGGTGGAACTATAATTTCAGACACTTTGCTTCTTATTGTTCCTCCTTTTATAGACTATAGGAAACGAGATTAAGTCTAAAAGGATATGCAGGACATTTGTGCGGAATTAGGGCTTGTGACTCTAAAATCCAAATTGCGGGGAAATTTCAGAAACATGCCTTGTAGCCTGCATGGCACTTTCTTTAGAAAACATCTTGAAAAATTTCCTGGTGCATGAGTGGCCCTTTTTCATGGGGAAAATACCTGGTGCTGAATTGTTTATTGACTTAAGTAGCCAAAAATTGCAATGTGATTAAGATAGGACTATACAGTGGCTGTTGCTGTCTACTTATGGGCAAAGATTCTGTCAGTTTGTACTAACTAGACTATGAATGCTGTCAAAGTGATAACTGCTGGTTGTTTTTCTCTAGCTACCTGAAATGTTGCAGCGACATTCTACCAGCAGCAGAAAAAGATCCTTCAGACACTTCGTTCTTCAGAACTTGGGCTTTCTCAGTGGAGGTGGCCTCATGCTCTGCATTGCTCTCTTTGAAGAACATATCAGTGTCCGCATGGATGAGTAGGACATTTCAAAAGGAATTCCCAGCTGCAAGGCAAAATGCACTCGTGGCTTCTGTTGTCAGTTATGACTGTCTTCTTCCTATAGCTGAAAAGGCAGCTGTAAAATCCTTTTACTGTAATTGGATAATCCAAGGAAGTTGGAGAGGAGAACAAAAGAAAGTTTGGAAGGATGAGTGACAAACTCTTTTGCCAACCACCACAATCCTGTGATAATGGGTATGGTGCCAAGAAAATTTAAATCTAATTCAGCCTGCTTGATATTGTAAAACAAAGTAGGCTGCCACTAAAATTAGCATGTTGAAAACCCATTATACTTTGTTAAATGGAGGAGGGGACAGTTGTTTTAGGAGAGAGTGGACCTAATTTAAATGTGTTTCTGTCAACGCTGCAACGAATTTGGCTGAAGCCATTTCTACTTCGTTTTTGGTTGCCACAGTATGGGAGGGGTGTGTGTGCTTTTAAAGTTAGACAAAATAATAAATTGTCCCGTGGGAACCAAGGTCATTGCTGCCTGGGTTTTGGCGGGATGAGCCTTCCCTTAGAAAGCCCAACATAGTTAATTGGGGAATGTGATTTATGACATCGTGCTGGGGTGGGAAATTCAACTTTGCAACATTGTAACCTTGGGAAGGAACTTCAGTCTTGGTTTCACTTTTGATCCTGCCGGTACTTTGTAGCCAATAAATATGTTCTTTAAGGAAACTTTCTGCCTTGGAGTTCTGTTTTTAGGGGTCTCATCTATCGGAACCCTGACATTTTCAACATAAGATGAAATTATTTAAGAAACTGTACCTTTTCTAGGTAACCCATTGGTTCTAGTATTGTACCAAGTACCGATGGTTCCTACTGCATTTTGGTTAAGTAATGGTTTCAAAAGCAGCAGTTATTCCAAGTTAGAAATTTGGGTCTTACAAAGACATGAACACCCAGTTAAACCTGAGACATCATTCAAGAGGAGCTTGAGAGTTGGTTTCTGTGAAGAAAGGACTCCTGTAGGTGTATGCATAGGACAAATATGCATAGATAAGGGTCACCTTTTCCCAGCGATAAAGAGACAGAAACAGGAAGACGCTTTGGACACCAACTCTGCATTAATATCTCCTCTGAAGGAATCTAAGGAAGTTCCAGCAGGTCAAGCAATAAAAGCACAAGCAAAGAGCAGATGAAACTGTCTTTAAATTTTATTTTTTCAGCAGCATTCATTGCCGCTACCTATAAGAATGTCTGAAAAATGTTCCTCCTGGGGACACTTCATAATATGCTGCACAAGGTTGGAGGTTAACAGGGCAGAATTTCAGTCTCTTAAATCAGGAAATTTCCAAAGACATAAATAGGTATCCTCCCCTTCCCTCAATTCTCCAGCACAAATTGTAAAGAACAAGATTTCCACGATGGAAAGGAAGGGCCAGCAGTTTTGGAATAAACAGCTGCGAAAGGCAGGAAGATGATGCGTGGGGAAAAAAACAGCTGAGCTACAAGAGGTGGATGACTAGCCAACTGGCCTATGTTAGAGCAGGGGAGCTTTTCCGACAGACACAACCAGAACATTCTTAAATGGTCTTTGGTTGACATCATATTCTAAAGCACAGGTGGGGAACGCTGGCCCTTTTATAATTTGTGGACTTCATGCTGGCTTAGGAATTCTGGGAGTTGAAGTCCACAAGTCATAAAAGAGCCAGCGTTCTCCATCCCTGTAAATCTAAAGAAAAAGGCTCTGGAGTTATACCCAAGATAATGAAACAAGCAGTCCCTCAATATTTGTGCAGGATTATTTCCTGTGCTGGTTGCCTTTCTTTCTGGGAATCCACAACTGGTGTGGAAATAGGCACCTGTTAAACACACTGTGGTCAAGCTCCCCGCTTATTTTCTCATGCTTTTTGGTGTGGGTGTGGTGTGGGTGTGTGCCGTCAACTTCAGCTTTACTGATCAATCATTTGAATTCCAAGTGGGGTGTTTCTAGCTGGGCATGCAGTAGCCACCTAGACTGTCATATAATTTCCTCATTTGTTTGTTCTATAGCTGTTTAGTTTGCTGGTATAATACATTCTGAGATATGGTATCACTTGAGTTGAATTCACTTCTCAAATAGCAAAAATACTCCATTCCCCCCCCTTTTTTTTCTTCCCCCTCTTTTGCCCTATTCAAGGTAACTCTTTGCCCAAAGGTAGTTACATTTTTTACCTAGAAGTAAACCACGCTGAATAGGTATGTACCTCTATAGAAATATTTTGAATTCATGCAGTCAAAACTGAGCTTCTGCATAGGATGGATTTTTTTTTATATTTCTGCACCTCAAAGTTGATTAAATAGAATTGACCTGTCTGGCTACCAGCCGACTGGTATAAAAGGTACCCAGATGGATATTGATGTGGAAGGGGGAAAGTGTTTTACAGATTGTAAAATTATCTGTGGTTTGAAAATGTATTTTTGATTCAGATTGTGAAATTACAGTTGTGTCATCAAGAATTCTCACCTGTATCTCTTGTATTTTTACTTACATTGTTGTATCTGGAGACACAAAAAAAGCAAGGCAAATAGAAGCAACAGCATTTTAATCAACATAATTGATTCAAAGCCACAATATGAATAACAGGACCTGGTCGCAGCATACATTGTAGAAAATAGATCAAGTCTGAATGCTTTGTTTTTTTAATTTTAGTTTTAAGTTCCTGTTAACCCCTTTCCCCAACCCCCCTCCCAAAGGTAATGCAGAAATTTTGAAAATGCATATATATCATCTGAGACAAAAAAAAAGGTTAACCATTCACTGAATTCATGTAAAGGGCTTATACAAGGTGGCTTCCACACTGCGCAAGACTGAGATGTGTAGAAAGGGGGGATGAATGGCTTGTGATACCTCACTGCATTGTTATTCAATATGATTTTACATAGATCTCTTAACATAATGTTTTCATTTCATGGAACAACCAGGCTGGGGTCGGGGTGGGGAAGAAAAGGAGGAATAACTGATGGTTGGTCTGACAGATCTGCCTTTCTAAGAATAAAACTCTTGAGGGAAACATAATTACTTAAAAAAAAAACTTAAAAGAGACTGCTTCCAGTGAAGAAATGAGGGCAAGGAGATCCATAAGAAAGGGAGATTGCCAATCAGTCTCAAAAGAGCAACACTCTGATTGCATATCAGGAACTTCCTTTGCATTGGGCTTAAAAGCAGACTTTGGGGAATGTGTGAACTGATCTTGGCAACTCCTGCCCTGTAACCAAACCCTCTTCTGAAACACCCAGAGTGAGCATTTGGGTACTTTTTTTTTTTGTGCTTTAAACCAGTGTTTGAAGGAAGATCATGTGTCTGCAAGTAAGAAGGCAGGCCTGTGAGCTGACTCGAATGCTTATTTTTAATAATCTCTTCTAAACATTGGTCCAAGCTTTCCAATACTAGCAAGATAAGGGGGCAAAGTTAAACTTCCCCACAATCATTATAGTTCCAAAGGTACGAGCAATGGAGAAGGGCAATGCTTCATAGGCAGCACTTCCATTCTTGCTCCAATAGCTCGTCATTCATCCCCCAAACTCAAAATATTACCATTCAAACAACACTCCCATCTTCACCCATTACAACATATATACACTGATACACATGCACATGCGCGCGCACACACACACACACAGGCGTCTAATTTAAAAATATCTGCTTAACTAAATGATCCCAATTAAGGCCCCTGCCTCAAAGGAGGTCAACATGGTTGCATGCTGGTCTTGATCAGCAGGTTGTAGATTCAGTGCTCTAAAGGTGAAAACATAATATTATTTCCCAATCCCATTCTACCCTATTAAATACAAAAGACCAAATACAAAACAGGTCCAGTAAATATGAGGTGCTGATCTAAAAACTGCCTTCCATTCCTCCTCCCACATTAATGCTCTTTAAAGGATCATGGGAAACACAGATTTCCCATCCTATAGATTTTCCCTCCTTGCCTGGTGTTTTAAGATGTGAGACATCATAAGAGCAAGAAGGGGTTTTGTGTTCACTGATGTGCTCAGGTTTTTACTGTAAGAATTAGGTATGAAGACCCGTTCTTCCTCCACACCCCAATCAAACTGTTGAAATATAAACTGATTTCCATATCAAGACACCTGTCGACTTTTTAAATATAGTACAGGCATCTCTATAATCTTAGAGAGCTTTTCCACCCTGGCAGGAGGAGGAAGAGGAATGGGAGATAAAATACCCCAAATATAAAACTAATGCAGATTACAATTGATTCAGTGGTAAAGGTAACAAAGGATTTTGTTTCAGAAAACTCTGTTATGGACGTTCACCGGAGTTCTTTCCAGAACTAAATGTTTTATTTATTAGAGGGACTCTAATTTTAAATACGAAAGAAATAAAAAGAAGATTTGACTTTACCACTTTAGCCAATCTTAACACCACCTGTAATGAATGCATATGAAGACTCTGTGTGCAAACACCCATGCACACAATGTGGAGGGCTTGCACGAAGGGGCAGGCAACTTTAAAGGGAAATGCTAACATCCATTCCTCTTCTCCAAATTCATTTTTTCACACAGATTAAGTGGAAATCCTTGACTTGCTCTGGTCAGGAGGCTGGCTCTGGCCCCAGATGCAGAGAGCTTAATCAAAGGAGGAGAACCATTTTTATTGTAGAGCCAAGTGCTCCTCAAGTTTCCTGCATTCCTGCAGGTGGCCATAATAGACAAAAAGAAAAAAAAGTCTACTAAAACAACTTCTAAACTGGGGCAATTTCCCTCTCAGTTCCCTTAAGAACTGAGGCCGAAGCCAAAATGAAGCATCCTGGCCTCCATGCAATTAGAGAAAATACTATGGCAATGCTAACCAAGGATTAAAAGCCTTGCCCCAAATGTGCAGATAAAGCTAAGAGAATGCTTAAACTGACGTTGTGGTCAGGATATACACTCTTCTCTGAATGCCTTTGGACCAAATGATTCAATGTGGAAGACAAAAGCCTTCCACTTATAAGCAGCAGTTACAGGTTAAGCAGGAAAAAAAAAATACTGT